TAGCATTAGTTTGCATTTCAGTTCTTCAGTGGTTTAATCCTGATACAGTTCTGGCTGAGAGTTGCTGGTGCCTTTAACAAGGAAAAAGAAATGGAATTAATTCTAAAGGAACTCTAGGGGATTCATTGATACAATTTTGACTTGGAGTTGCTGAAACTGTGCAAATGAAGAAACAGGAACGTGGCTGGAAGCAGAGTTATGAGTTCTTGAAAAAACTGTTGGGATAGGCAGATACTGGAAAAGAGTAGAAATAAAAGAACAAAGCAGGGACTCCCGTTAACTAATTGGACTGTATAGCCACATTTGGAGAAACTGTGACTGCTGTTGTTTTTTTCAGTCCTGTATCTCATATCACAAATATTTTCAACTAGATAGAGAGTCAATAACAAGTAGTTCCGTGAACAAGAAAACCAGTGTAACCTGTTTGCCTATATATTTCTGTCTTGGGATTGATTAGTTTACTTTGACTGGGGAAGTGCAAGCTCTAGTTGAAGCTTTTACTGAAACTGGAGCATTACGTCTCTATCTGACACGGAGGGTAAGTGCAGAATAACGGACTACCTCTTTTTTCACTAGTGAACATTTATATGGGATCACTTTTATCATAAGTGTAAAAACTGTCCCACTTACTTAAGTCCAACCATTTATTTAGCTTTTTTCCCCAAGTGCCACCACACGTGAGTAGAACCTAAGTGGTAGGACTGAAAACAAGCCCGGCAGTCAAGCTGTTGTTGATCTCTGCCCAGTTCACAGTAGGTGACGTCAGCCTGCCAGGTGCTGGCGTTGGCAGGAGAGAGGCTGGAGCGGAGAAGTGAGCTGCCCGGGGTTAGGGAGAAGCTTGGTTGGCTGCCTGTAGGGCCGCACCTCTTCTGTTGGTTAAACCTTCAAGGACGTAGTAGTCCTGAGTGAGTGATTTATTTATGTTAACATAACTAAATTATGTTAGCCTTATTTATGTTAAATTTAAAAATAACATGTTTTGCTTTTTTTTATATATGCTCTAGATATGCAAGAACTGTACAGGCTGTTTTGATCGACAGATCCAGTGTGTCTCTCTGAACTGTCCAGTACTTTTCAAGCTAACCAGAGTAAGCAGAGAATTATCAAAGGCACCGTATCTCCGCCAGCTACTTGACCAGTTTTAAATGAACTGTGTTACAGGATTCCAGGTGCTATTTTTTTTTTTTTTTTCCAGTGTTTACCACACTAAGACGATTGTGCATGGTGCTTTTTCAAGTTTCATCTAGTCCAGGATTTCCATGTTAACTGTTGGGTTTATTATCTGAAGAATAACGAACATTTAGCCTAACTAAATTAAAAACCGCGTTTGTTGATCTATGAATAGCTCACTTTTTAAGATGTAAAAATTCCTTCTTTCTTTCTTGTTTCTAACATACTGTTTTATAATGCTGATGTTGAAATAGCTATGTGTAACATCTTGTAAATCCATTTCAAAGTAGAAGTCAAGTTTACTTCCCAGAGGAAGGAGCACTGAAAAACCTCTTGAAACGATAAAACCATTAGTGTGTGTTCTTGGACTGTCAGTATCAAGACGTGTTACTTATATATTATCCATTCACTTTATAATTTTGTCTGCGAAATATTTTGTAAATACACTTTTTTACTTTTCAAACAACTGAGTAAAATAATGTGCAATGACTTTTATACAGATAATTTTAAAGTTGGTTGGTATATCTCCTCCTAAGTTTTGCTTGATTCCAAGTAGATTGTTATTTTGATCAGACTGTGCAAACAGTAGTATCATGTGTAGCATTTTGAAACATTATTTTCTAAAAATTGCTGTCTTGCTTTAGCTATTAATGGGGCATTGTGAGGAACTGTGCAAAGACATTTTTTTGTTACAAACCTGTGGGACTGTTGCAATACTTTAAATATAAAATTTTATTCCATTTTTGCTTGTTTTGTATAGACATTTCTATTGCTTCTAAATATGCTTAAAATATTTTCTTTCCTTATGTACTGTACAGTTAAATCTTATTTGCCACCATCTTGACAAAATGTGTATTTACAATATTTGTATAACTGTATAAAATGGAAAAGGAATTATGTGGTCAGTGCATTGTTTTCTAAACTGGAAATCATTTTGTTTTAGAAGTTAATAATGGAAACCATATTAAAGTTGAATAAAACGATATGGTGAAAATCTGTATGCTTTTTTTTTTGCACTCGCATTTGCGGTCAGTCTTTGTCGCCCTCATTTGGCACACCAGCAGTAGTAGCATAAACAAGAGGAGTCTAATAAAGATTTAAGAATTCACAGTTCAGTTTCCAGCGTAAGCTTCATGATCTAAAGCCTAGGTATCAGTTCTTGGAGGCCTCCCCAAACGGAACAGAAAGGAATTATTTTGTACTACCATTAGTCTAAGCAGCAGTAAGTGTTATATTTAGAAGTCCAGAAGAGCCTTCAAAAATAGAACAAAACTTTATTTAGAAAAAGGAACCAAAGTGCTTTTTTTCCAATTAAGAATTTATTACATTCAAGAAACAAGTCAGTCTATTAAATTTCACATTATACAGTACAACCCACACCAAGCAGAATAAAAACTATTAATATACAACAGGACACATAACCAATTGCTATGAGCTTTATGCAAAGTAATTAAAACCCATCAAGGCACCAAATGCTGCCAACTTCTGCATTCTAGCATTGTATGGTCATTTATAGAATAAAAGTGCAAGTGTCAGGACTACTTCCTCAGTGCTTGCAGTACAATCCAGCGTTTGACAGTGCTTCAGGGATTTAAAAAAAAAAAAAAAGACACTTAACTGTAAAAGGTTACCATTCAAATTAGAGTAAATGGGCATGTTAAAAACCTATTTCTGTTTTTTAGAGCTAACAACATGAATCTTTCTTACTAAATTCAGGTCTCGACCCCATTGATCACAACACATAGATGACTTCTTGTCCTCAACACATAGATGACTTCTTGTATTTGTGTTTTGCTAGCATAATCAAGGCAATGGGCCAGTAATAGTTTACTTGAGTAATTCCAACTCTAAACACATAGTTTAAACTACGTATTTTAAGTTTTATAGAGGATCTTTAACATAAAAGGCACTGTAAACAGATCCTCACTGTAACTGTATATGCCAAGAAGCACGTTACTTTCAAAAGTTTAACATTAAAACTAACATACATTTTCGACACGATGCCTCGAGCAACAGCCAAATGCAGTAACTCTAGCAGCTGCAGCCTTATTTTGACCATCAAGCCTGTCTAACTGCTGTGAACTAGACTCTTCATGGGAAATGTCTTACAGATCTGTTTTTAAATCTTAAATTGCTTACAATACATAATTTTTTTTAAGGGACAGCCCTCCCCAAACACTAAAAGCATGCTTTAAGGGTAAGGAAAACAAAGGATAAAAGTTTTGAGTTTCAAGTCTCAAAGTTTCCAGTTTGAGACCAGAAATGCTTAAGACATTATGGCTTCAAGCATGCTGGCCAAGACAAATCAAAATTTAGATGTCATCCAGACAACAGCTTCTGAGTATCGTTCAAATATGAGTCTATATGACACTGGTCAAGATAATTATGAAATTAAATTCTACTGTGTCTTCCTGGCACTATTTTTTAGATCTTTCATTTAATTGCTGTAAAAGAGAACTTTTACCTTAGCATTCGAGACAGTTGCTTCATTTCTACTACTCCTGGTTTTAAGGAAAAAGAACAATAATGTTCCAGTTAGTTAGTTAGTTGTTTTTAACTTTAAGTAAGTAAGTGGCTCATACAGCAATTAATACACCCTGCAAAGTCCATTTTGCACAGTAGTGTCTTTTTTTTTTTTTTAATAGCTGTTGCGAAGACATTAGTCAAACACAAATAAGCACATTCTAGTTAGAGGTTAGCGCACATTTCTCGACAGGGCTTTCATTTCATTTCCCATTTTACTACTTGATTGATTATGCAACACTTCCTAGCTATCCCTGAGAATACTTAACTTGCACTACATTCCCATTCTGAATGAAATGCCGAAGAATTAGAGTAGAAACTGGAGAGTTGTTTAAAAAAAACACCACCACCACCACCACCACACACCCACACAAAAAAAACAAAAGACTTCCTGGTCACCAGGTGGATTTCTTAAACTAATTTTCTTTTGGTAACATGATCTCAAGTATAAGGGAACTTTAATAAAATAAAATAAAATAAAATTATTCAATAGTTTCTCCAACAAAAGTCACAGTAGCTCTACTTTGAAATTGCTAGTTCCAATTCCTTCTACTTTAAAGAACAATCCAACCAAAGCTTTTACAAGTGTAAGTATTTTGGTAAATACTCCAGCTAGGAAATTGTTGGTGTCTTGTAATAACTTCTCAACCACATCGTTAGGCCTCTCGCTGTTCAGATAAAGCATATGGATTGTAATTACAGCAGCAGAGCTAGGTCAGAACCATTTCTATATTTTTTTTGTTTGTCCTGCACTGAACTCAAGTTTTTGCCGAAGGATAATCTGTGACATCCCTGGGGTAGAGGGAAATCCCACAGAAGCAGAGTAAAAGTGCTTGTCACTTCCCCTCTCCCTTCCCTGCAGGATTTGTCCATACCATCAGAGACCACTCCGTATTTTCTAAAGGTAAAGCATTTTACAGAGTGGAGAAAAGAAAAAAGAGAAAAGGAAAAAAAAAAAAAATCAAGCAAGGCAATCAGTTTTACTCTACCCTCATTTAAGTCAGTATCTCAGCCATGCCATTTCATTTATGATTATCCAAGACTAAGTTAAACACCTAAGTCCGTACAGACTTACTCCTGTTGCTTAAATGCAGCCACATGTAGCTAAAACAGGATTTGGTTTGATATGTAAAAGCATTACTTTAAGCAAAGAGAACTCTCATGTAGCAAGTGAAACAAAACAGTACTTTTAAGTGCAGTGTCATGCATGAGACTGGAAAAGATGCCACAGAAGTGCATATATACATATATGCATGCACACACCAAAAAAAAAGAAAAGAAAAAAGAAATATACAAGGAAATATACAATGATATTTAAATACAATGACAGCAGAGAGAGAGGGAGGTCCTTAAATATATTCTAAGATGCAAAAAACAAAGAAGTATGAAACTTTTCACTGCAAGTTGATTCCTGCTTATCAGCTTCTCAGAAGACAGTAAGTCACTGTATTCTAGGTTGAACACTCAGAGGACAAGAGAGAGAACAAAAACAAACAAACAAACAGACCTCAAAATACACTAAACAACTAAGATCCCGTGTTGTTACATTTAAAGCTATTTTGTTAGTAAATTAAAGCTCTTTGCAAGAAAAATACTAAGAAAAGTAAGTGCAAAGCAAAAGATACTAATATATTTTGATCACATAGCCATTAAGAATACTAACCTAAACGTTTTGGTTTCCAAGTAGACAAATTGCAACACTATTGTTTCAAACGCAGATTTTGCCATTAGCTACTTCATTTACTCTTGCTCAGAAAGGCTGACAGGCTTGGTCCTTCTGAGCTCCTCCTGGTTAGTAGCAATCAATCCACAAATATAAACCACTGCTTCTCCTCCGGGAAGAATCTGCCTATGAGTCATTATCCAAAGAAACAAAAAGGAAATGGCACCAATCCAACTCGTACAGGTACAGTACGGTCTGAAAGGATTGTCTCATCAATAGTTCTATCTCATTTTCAAATTTTAATACATCCATATATGAAAGTCTTGGCACAGGAAGCCAGAAAAGTTATTCTAATTTGTGCAACTTGCTTAAAAATATTAAGTTCCTAGGTCAATACCAGAGATTATCTAATTATATATAATTTTATCATCTTAATACATTTGGTGATTTGTAGTGCAGTAATTAAAACAATCACAGATATTTTAGACTAGTTAGATTTGTCATCACTGGTTAACAAGCAAATCAGAGTTAAGCATTATAGTAGATTAATATGACCAATTTTGTCCCCCTTCCCCTACACTGCTTTTAAATGACCCTTAGGACAGGTTCTACTCTTAAGAATTAATCTTTAATACTTTTTGTCTTAGTAACAGAACCAGAAATTCTGCAGTTTGCCAATAGGATATCTAATTTACAGCCACTGGACATCACCGGACATTTAACTTATTTCCTGGTTTGTCACGCAAACTTTCAGTGCAGTAAGAACATTCTTCCGTCGTGAAGTAAGAAAGTGCAGAATCCCAGATCACAGATTTTTCTCATTTCTGATGAGAATGTTTTGTAACTTAACACCTCAGAATTGTACCCTTCATCCACGCCCAAAAAAGCAAGTGGTCTGAGCAGTCCTCTTTTTTCCAAGTTAGTTCACATTACTCAAAGATCATCAATTATTTAAATGCATGCCTCACATTTAGAAAAAATCTCTTACGTTTTAACATTTTCAGTATTTGTCTATAAATTTTATCACATTACCCCAATCACATCACCATGGACTTTCCCACTCGAGAATACATAGCTGCAGACTGAAAATAAGAGGAGAAAGGACTGGACAAACAGAAGTGGAAACACGTAACTCTGCGCCACTGTAAAAAGATTCTTGAACCACTTTACAAGAACAGCTACAATCCCATTGCATTTCCCTTTTTAGAAAAAAGTCATTTTTCTACTTCAATCATTCTTCTCCCGTTCAACATTCACCTTTTTTAACCCCGGGGAGCTACCAGCAACCACTGGAGAACTACCCAGTACATCATCTGAACGTGGCTGGAGGGAGGCTTTGGCTGGAGAATCCCCTGGTACCTTACGGGAGGTCTCTATCACAGAGTTTCTCAGTGTATCATTCATTTCTATTACCTCAAAGTCTGCTTCATTCCATTCACCTGCGTCCTCCTCGTCCTCTTCATCTTCATTAAGTCCAGAGTTTGACAATAAAGCTTTCCGGTCTTCGCTCTCACTCATTTCTTTCAAATCACTCTCATCAAGAGAGTTGGCTAATTTGTACATCACAGGAAACAGTATGACTGTCATTGCAGAAGTTCCCAGTGCAGTATACATAATCACAGGAATATGGTGAAATTTTCCTTGAAGATATCCAACCACTGCAGGAATACACATCTCGCCCAGAGCAGCACCAACCACAAATAAAGAAGCAGATTTTCCTTGTATGACAGTGTACTGTTCTATCCAGGAAATGCCACTGGGAAAGATGGTAGCCATTGAAGCTCCATATACAGCAGTTCCAGCCCAAAGTGAAACTGGGTATTTCGCAAAGAACGTCAGGCACAAGGAGGAGACAGAAGAGCCTATGATACTCAACACAATCAGAGTACCGGGGTATAAGCAAGCAGCACAACATATTGCTACTCCTCTGCAAGCAGCAAATGCACCCCAGAAGAGAGAATTCAAAGCAGCCGCTTCATTTTCCTTCATCTCAGCAAAGACCTTTGCGTAAGTAAATATGTAAGAGCCATAAGTGACCTCTGCTCCCACGTAGCAGAAGAAGAATACGAACAGGAGAAAAATAAGGGCATAGTGGTATTTGGCAGTTACGTTTTTCTGCAAAGAAGCCTTCGATTTGTCTCGAGCTGAGCTGCTCCTTGAATACAAGATAAAAAAGAAGAAAGAAACAAACAGAAGACAAGTCCCTATAACAACATAGGACCACAAAAAATCTGCACCAAGATGGCGTTTCAGCGCTGACAAAGTTGATGCTGTTGGCACAGACTTCAAGATAGACTGGTTTGTCTTTTCATCTACTGGAAGGTCTTTAGATACAGAGCCTCCCAATGCCATTTTAGCCAGAAGTGGCGCCACAAACGCACCTACTGCAAAACTGAAGTGTAAGGCCTGCATATGAGGTCCGGCTTCTGTTCCCCATGTATTCAGTGCAAGTATATTGCCACCTGTGGATTGGAGAGAGGAAGATTCAGTCATTTCAGGCTGAAACCAGATACTGGTTTAAAAAAATAACCAAAAACAACAACAAAAAATACACAACATTAATATGCTGCTAATCAGTCTGCCAGCACCACCTTTTGCGACCCAGTTTGTATGTATTCAGTTTGCAATAACGGCAGCTTTAGCAAATACAATGTGCAAAAATTACAGTTAACTAAAATTCTGCATATAAGCACCTTAAATCTGCATGCATAGTTGAGTTTTAGGAGGGTATTCACAGCAGTCAAAATAAAAGAGCCAGAAAGCAGCTCAGTCCAGTAACAATGGCTGTACTTAATTATCCTGTTTGACAATTCCGCTGTTTATGTCCCAGTATAGCCGTATCTGGCTTGGCCAGCCATTCCCAGCTCTCTCCATTTTCCTCTTCCAGAGGGTTTAAACTGAAGATTCCTCAGCACATCAAGCAGTCTCTAGTAGCGCTACTCCTGTCTTCCCAGATCATCAGTCACGCTCACATGTAATTTGTAGCATTTTTCAACTTTTTTTCAAAACAGCAAAGCTAACTGCTTCTCATTTCTATAAGTTTTAGAGACAACAATGCAGCATCCTACAAATCAGAGCTCTCGTTAAACCACATCTGAGGAAATATCAAGAATCACTTGCTTCTGATGGGCAGAGACTACCCCAGCTGTGTTCAAATGACCTGTGGCATTCCCAAAAGCAGAAAGGAGTACCATAATATTGCTGCAGAGGCCAAACTACAATACCTTCATCTCAACAACAATGCTAGACAATAGGATCCAAGATCATTTTTAAATAGCTTGAGAGTAATGTGGGAAAATAAGAACAGGAATCAAATTCCTAGGCTACGCTACAGCAACCCTTGTCACTCATGACTAATATTCTTCCAGATTCCTTTCCATTCTGCTGCCTTGCCTTTAGCTTCTCCCACTACTGCTGCTCGGGCTAGGAAGTATCTCTGTCTAAAAGGTCTGGCTCTGAGGCAGAACTTACTCAAGGAATTTTTACAATAAACCCATAAGATTTTCCCATATGAAGAATTTTTAAACCAAGTGCCAGCTATGCTGATCCTACCAGGGGCAGCAAGTACACCTCTGCATTCAGATTACTTAGCATAGCCTGTGCCACAGCCATCCATCTTTTCCACTACTGGATCCGATGTCATGCTCTCTTTAATGTTACAGAGCTCTCTCAGATGCCACAGAATTATGACAGACGGTTCATATGCAAAGCCATCATTTCACTATGTCGCCTACCAGCCAAGCCGCTGAAACAAAGCCCTGCCGTGGATTCTTTCACAGGGGTTTGGATAGGGAGGCCAGCACATTAGCCAACGATTACTCAGAAATAAGCTTTCCCCAAAGCAGGTCAGCCAGATACAGAAGAATCATGCTCACTAGTAAGCAAACATGAGCTTCCTCAGCAAGCCAGAAAAGTTGGCACGCTGCTGGCACAGCGCAGAAAGGGCACCTGGGGACTGGCCTCCTGTTGCAGCTTTACCACCACCTCCTGCTTAAACTCCAGGACACTCCACCACTGGGCTATTTCTGGTTGTATCTTGACCCCCCCATCTGCATATAGCAGTACTATCCGGGCATCTCCTATTCATGCTTTTACCTCTTGCCATGGCCTCACCTCCTGACCCAAACTGCCTGCTATAGCCCTACCACTAGCTCATCTTTTCTTAGCCACACCCAACGAACTAACACCTAATTTCTGTGAGAATTGTTCATACCTCTAACATAACTGACCTTCCTGACTGCACCTATAGGACATTTGCTTTGTATCTTCATCAATATATGTTCCTCCAAAAAGGAACCGGTTTTGAACAGGTTTTGAAGAAAAGTGTTTCTTCAGGGCTGTCTCTAGTGTGCACGCACCACTGACTTGCAATTTGGGGTCAAAGAATAAATTTGGACTCCCAAACACCTAGGTGATGCTGGCCAAAGGCATCCAGCACCCGTAATTCAAAAAGACCAAAGACATGGCGCTGTCAGTGATCTATAGTAGTAAACGTCCGGTGTGAATCTCAAAGTGCTGCCTGGCCAGGCTGAGGTTGCCAACTCTCTCATACAGCAACTGCCAGCATCTTCCTCTCAAACATCAGGGCTTACTCAGGACAAACTTTGTTCCATCTAGCACTAATGAGCAGGTACCCAACCAGCTTGCTGTAGATGAGTAATTCTAAGAAAACACTGTTTTAAGAGCAACAGCACGTGGCACTTCCCTTAAGCTTATAACTGTCGTGTGAGGCGCATGTTGGTCTTCTACAGGAGGAAGCAAGAGATACCCAGCTTCCCAAGCCAACTTGCCCCAAGCCCCAAAACCAAGCAGGTCTGTTACAGAGACACAAACTCTGGAAGTCTCAAGAGCAGAATAAACCACCAAGAATCCTGGCCAGATGCAACAGCTCCCCTCTTTTACTTCAAGATGTGTCAAATGCAATACTTCAAGCAATACATCAAAATTGTTACTTGTAAGTTTTCACTCAGTTCAGTGAAGGAACTAATGGATCAAGAGATCACTTACCTGTGTCTAGAATCCCCATGGAACCTCCAATAACTGACATCAAGACAGTCAACAGCAGGGATTTCTTACACCAAGGTATGCCATAAAGACCAATTGTTGTTCCAAGCATGGATAATGCTATAAAATTAAAAAAAAAAAACAACAACAACAACAAATAAACAAGAAAAAAATAATATTACAGCTTCAATTTTAAACACAAAACATACAGTAAACCACAACATACAAATACATTGATAATTCTTAAAGCTGCAGATGATCCTATTAGGTGATGTAACCTAATTACCTTAATCAATTATCAGCAGAAGTAATCAGAAAAAAAAAAATATATATATATATATGTATGTTTTCAACAGAACCATTTTTCACTTGGAAAACTGGAGTTTTATCAAAACATAAATACTTCATAAAGCTGCACTACTTTGCTAAAGCTTTACTTGCAAGGAGAGTAACATCTACAACATTTTGATTTAGAAGTGTGCTTTGTGACAGAAGCAGATAAGTGTTTTTGGACAATATAAAATTTTACTTCTGAAAACTGCAAAGCATTAAATTTGACTCCATTTAAAAGGAAGACAAATTATTAAACTCTTAAAACCCTCTAAAGTGGCTGCCCCGTGGTCAATAAGCAACTTCCATATAAAAATGTCAGTGTTCCTTGATATTCTGTTCCCACATGAGGAATGTATTCCAAACGATTTCTAGAATATCAGGAGACATAACTACAGTATTTCAAACCACAAGGTTAGTTGACACGGATTAACTATATCAGTTTTGCTTTATTTACTAAACAGACAATACACCCATTTGAAAAATATTTTAGAACTGATGGAAATTATTATTATTATAAAAAAATTGGGAAGAAATTCAGCAGTTGACTTCTCTGCTTATGATCACCTTCAAGTAAAATATTCTGCAAGTAATATCTTGAATATATAGTATTAGATTTTTAGAAAGCTTATATTAGTTTAGACTATTATTTTTCAGATCAATGCTTAATCATAATTCTGGCAGATACTAAAAATCAACGGGGATAGATGCAATTAAGAATTTAGGTTAATTCCGCCTCCTCCCCCCAAAAAGAAAAGAGCAACCCAGAACCCTAGTGAGGTACTTGAAATACATGCCTCAAAACAATTTTAAAGGCTAGCATGCTGAGCTGCACAGGGAACAGCTAAAGATGGGGTGCATGCAATCCACGTTCTCAGATGCCTCACACAGAGCTGAAAAATAACTTTGCAACAAGTTCCCAGGTGTCCACTTCAGATCTTCACCTGAAGATCAGTACTTATAAGCTTCCTGACAAAGAAAGATTATGTTTTCAACTTTTTCTCTGTGCAGTAGCAGAATTTCAACAATTGAAAAGTGGGAGGTACGTTAACCACATGAGCAAGAGCGTCCCTTACAGGCAGCCCTCAGATGACAGAAACAGGAGAAGATTCTGTAGTTCAAACTGTATTTTTGCCATAGGTGCTACCAAATTGGAAGGGGCTGAGAAGATGGAATACATTCTCCAAGCACTGTTGACAGACAGCTACCCTATGTGATAGATCAAGAAAGCAATACTAAACTGCTTCACATTAATACTCATTTCCACAGGTGAATTAATGCCATTATTCAAGGTAAAGTCTCAAATGTCAGAGACAGACAATTCTGACCTTGATGTGCAAAAAAGATCAGAAAACTAAAGAGAACATTCTTTGTAAGTATTCTGAATCAAGGCAATAAAAAACAGGTGGGAAAACAAATAAAGCTGGAGGACATCTTAGAACGAGAACAAGTGAGAAGGTGAGAAGAGGAAAAAGAAAAAAACAAAAAAGAGACAGACATTATATGACGTGACTGTTCATGATAAAAGAAGGCAGGCGTATGGGATAAGAAGAGATTTAAGTTCACATGCTAGCAATGGAAAATGAACCTTCCCATATTCTCCAAACCAACCTTGCGATTACAGCACTGTCCTTAAGGGAGGCAGTTAAGGGAGGGAGAGTTATGTTTGAATATCCCCAAGGAAAGATATGGGAGGAGAAGGAAAAGGAAGAACCCCAGGATCTTCATCAGCCACTAACTTCCAGCACAAATGGACACACTGCCATCGTTAGGTATATTTTAAAAGAAACCGGTTGCCATTATTGCCCTTGAAAGGAAAAAGACAGGCTTCCAGAATTTCAGCTGTGCTCCGAGAACCCCTACCTGAAAAAGCCCCTTAACGTGACTCTGTGAAAGGAGCATCTAGTTTCTAGATTAGAAGTGTGGCAGTTTGCAATTTAACAGCTTAGTAGCCCAGCTTCACCAGAACTGAGACAGTCCTATGCTCATACAGGAAAAAAAACTTACACGTGGCGAGAAAAACATTAAGATCACAAACCATAGTTCCTATAAATATTTGCATGGCTAGGCAGCAATGGAGCAGCAAGCTTTCAAGATCACAAATAATATTTAAAGTCTTTCTCTTTAAATAAGTCCTAATTCGATTCAATCAAAATCTCTGTACTTTTGCCAGGTACACAAAGGTGAACACTTCTGCTGAGCTTTAACAAAGGAGAAGAGTAATTCCCTACAGAACAGCACCTCAACATGACTGTAGTAGCCTTCAGCTTTGTACAGGCGAAAGCCAAAATAGTTTTTCCCCCATTTTGTTTATACATGTCACAGAGTGACATTATCAAATATTTTATGCTCCAAGATGATCTAACATATGATCAAGTGATCTATATCATTTGATAAAGAGGGGAAAAAATCCCACTTGTGTGCGCGTGCACATGCATGCACGTGTGTGTGCAAACCAAAGGCACCTTTTGGCCAATCCAACCAGTTTCTGTCAACTCAAAAACAGCTACCACTATCAGTACGCCCAGAAGCCCATCTACTTGGAAATAATGCCATGCAGCAGTAATTGCTGGACACGTATGGAGTCAGAAACCAAACAAAGTGTAATTCTGTAAGACTGAATGACAGCTGCAAAAGCACCACGTTTTATGAAGAAGAGTATTACATGCCAACAGGCATCAGATTCCTATTTCTCAACACTGCTGTATAAAACCAACAAGTTTCCATAAAATACTACACAAGCCGAAGAGACGCTGACCTGAAAAGTTTCCCATCAAATAGTGTTTCACAGCCAATGATCTCACCATCAAATTGTTGCAGCATAATTTAAAACAGTACTTTAAAATACATCAAGATTCATATGGGGGGGGGGGAGGTACTCAGAGACATCTGTTCTTCTCCACACACTTACCTAAGAGAAGATGCGCATTCATGCAGTCAAAGAGAACCCCTCCAAGCACCGACCCGCCAAGGTAGCCCAGAGAGCGACCCACAAAAATATAGTAAATATCACTGACGTTTTTATTCACGTTGTCAGCCAGATTTTGAAAGGTAGGTCCTAGGACAGCAATACTCATACCCTGGAAAATATTTTAAAGGGGGTTATTTCGCACGTGATTTTTAAACCAGCCGGAGGTTTCCTCAGTCCCGTCTACGAATGGTGTGCGAGTGCTTGGGCGACAGGGGCCGGAGCGAGCCCGCCCCGTTTAAGAGCGCGGCGGCGGCGCCGGC